AGGGAATCGCTGCGAACATCTTGTGTCTTCCCCATCCCTGGTTCTGGTGGCAACCCCATGCTCAAAGGCTCCACCTGCAGCTCTCCTGATCTCAGGGTAAAGGCATTAGCCTGGGAACCTTAGCCAATTTCTGGCTCTGCAACAAACCTCCTGCATGCAAGCTCTGAGGAATCACCTAATATGTAAGCAAGGTTGCTGGGAAGATAAATGGCTTGATAAAGTGTGAGGTGCTGAGCAACACTGTGCTCAGGGACGTGCAAGCAGATGGATGCAAGTTCTGCTACAAGACAGTAAGAAACAGCCAAAGATGTGGCCTGATTGCCTGTCGTAGCTGCCTCTTAGATAAGAGAGATGGTCAAAGGACCCCTGGAATTGTGAACGTAGATTAATATTGTGAATTTTTTGGCTGAAAATAAGAGCATTAGGTCTCTGAGTGCAATGGTCAGGTTGGATACCAGCATGACCCTCAACAACAGGAATATTTAAGTATGGGGCTTTGTTTCAGCCCACTGCAGAGAATACTGGTTTGAATTATGCGAACATCTGCAGTCAGGAGGTTGTTAAGACACAGGTGTTTGGTTTGAGCTTCTCTCGTCTTAGACATCAACATTTAAAAAGGGAAAAGAAAAACAGAATGGGGAAAACGGCACTTCATTAGGAAAACTGCTATCCTGTTATTAAAATGAACAATGAGGAGTGAAATACCCTGTTACAGGGGAAAACAGTGGATGGGATCCACTTGCTGAGGCAAACTGACACGTCTCTTGTTTTCAAGGCATCGTTGCCGATTTACACCAGTGTCGGGCTTGTCCAGGGTATTTACGTTTCTTTCTCCTGCCCTTCACAGGATTTAAGTCCATGGCGCGGAGCGGCCGCATCCCTTGCGCAGTGACGGATGCTGCGAGGAGCTGCAGGCGGCCGCAGACATGCAGAGCCCGGTGCAGAGTGTTTTGGGCCTGACCCCAGGCATTCCCTCGGTGACATCTTTGACGGAGCACGGAATGTTTCCGATTATTGCAACGTGAAAGCTCGGCCCAAAAAGCTCGTAATTTCTTAATAAAGTTTCAACCAAAATACATGATTTTTTTTTTTCCTTCCAGATGTCTTTGTCTAGCATGAAATCGGCCCCTTCCCCCACATTTCTTCCTCCCCTTTTCCCACTGAAGGAAAATGTCAGCAATTCATGCCTTTTCTTTCCAGGAGAAATTTCACCTAAGCTGTGCCAGCAGGGGATTTGGAAAACATATGATTTTAAGTTCAGTGCACTGCAGAGCTTCTTATCCTCTGTCATACATGTAAAATTGATAACTTAAGGCAAGGTTAGAGTGGACATAAGGTATAAACTTCTTATATCTAATCTTCCAGTTGCAAAATTATCTGTCACTGGTAATTAGGGCTATGACAACTAAAAATTCAGACTGTTGTTGTCACTCAAACATCACAGCGCAAGCAGTAGGGCATATGTTGTGCGTCCTGTTGAATATTCAGGACATTTTATTTTTCCGTTGCTCCCTGGAAACAGATGAGCCACAATACAACTTTCAGGCAAGATCACATACAGATTCATTGCATCTAGGTAGAGGTAACTTCCAGTCCTGCCTGCAGCTGAATGAACCCGCTAACCCATCACAATAGACCCAGTTTTAGAGGTAGCGGAAAGTCTGAATTTGGAATAACCCAAGAAAATTTCAAGGGATTCTTAGTAAGTGTTCTGCAATTCCCCATCCTACTGCTTGGCTAACTGCAGGGCAGGGGACCAGCTCTTGCCCTTTGCTGACTGTCAACGGCCTCACTGCGGCCTGTTGAAGCGCAGACTAACCCGGGGGTCATAGGAGCTGCTTAGCATCTAGGGGACCTGAGCCTTTGCTGAGTGGCTACTGAATTAAAATGCAAAATAGAATTAACAATTAATTTAAGGAAGCAGAAATCAAACTTAAGTAAGGAGGCAAATGAGAAGAAAATTATGCCCCCCACATCAAGGAGGCAGCTTTCCTGCCTGACGTCCTGAGCGAACCATGAGGACTCCCACCTTGCTCTTTGCTAGCTGCTCAGCTAGCACAGGCAGCCCTTCGCACAGGCAGGAGACAAGGAAAAGGTGGTGAACCATTTTTTTTAAACAGAAAATTTTGCTATGTCCCATACCTGTGGTTTCACACACCGTTAACGTGTTCTGCCCGTTCACCTCGCATGCAGCCGACACTCGTGCCCGCGTGCACCAGGCAGCACTCACCATGCACATAGCAGCGACTTACCTGCGCGCCCGCGGGAGCTCTCCCGCACGGCGCTT